GAAAATTATTATATCTTTAAAAATAAATGTAAAATAATTAAACATATTAACTTAACGTCTTAAAATTTTCATATAAATATCTAATTTGTTTCGGAAACTACACAATTAATATTTTTATAACAGATCTAAAATATAATGCTCTATGAGTTGATCGAAAAATAACATCAGAACAAAAATATATGAAAACAGATATGGAGTTTTTTAGCCACCTTTTTTCCAATTTCAAATGTTAAACATACATTTCTATTTACGTTAAAAGGCAATCAGTTAATAATATTTCTTGCAGCTGATAATATTCCATTATGAAATAAGACTTAAGCAATTAACAACGATTTTTATAGCATTTGATAATTAAGATATTTGAACACCAATAGAAATTTTTGAAAGAGAAATAGAATAACGTTCATATTTACAGCATTCTTAACACGATGCACATTAAATACCTCATTAAGGTTGGAACAAATTTGCACCATATTATGGTTCAACATTAAACCGATATTACCGAAAATGTACTTAGAAGTTTTTGAAGCGATTTTTCCTGTCAGATTAGCTCGAATGCTGTGATATTAATAAAAACAATAATACTATTTCATTTAATATCAAAAGAATAATTTAAAAGATTGTCAGGAACTTTTAAGAATAAAATCTAGCGAAGCTAACAGAAGCAAGGAAAATAATGAAATGAGGAAAGCATATATAGATATATTATTTGCTGTAGGACCTAAAGATTTAGCAATAATCGGATATTTCAAATTATGAACAACTTCTATGCACACTTTTTCTAGAAGAAATATCTTGAAATTTGTTTTGCATAGTTTCTCATCTACTTTAGAACCAAATGTGATTTAAAAAAATTATGGTAAGACTTATTTTATACAAAAACAATACGTTTTTCTTGAGAAAACGATTTTTTAAATGGTACCTTTTCGAAATCGTTAAATGAATTTTTATTGTTGATTGGAATGGATTATGACATTGAAAAACATTTTACGAAACAAATAATTATAAAAGAATAAATTATAAGTAATTCTTATTATTAGGAGACAATAGCGTCACAGGGTTAGAACCAGTATTTCATTTTGGAGTTCTTTAATTTTTATACACATAAATAGAAAAAATATTGAGTTTCTTTTAAGTTTAATTTTTAAGCAAAAAAAAGTTAAATATGTATGCACATCCTGCAGAAAATTTTGAGAACCATAATCCTGCTTATGGTTCACATCGTTAATAACTGATAACTGCTAATCAGTACTAATAGTTCTTATTCTAATTTTTAGGTTTGAACTACAAAGTTAATCTAATCAATAATTATGTTATTATAAATTGACATTCCATTTTTAATTTGATGAAAATATTTGCAATTAAAACTTTAAACAATAAATGTATTTTTATTGATATTCTTATATTATTAGAAATAATTTTCTTCCTAATTTTAACTGCTTGATATCAATTGCTTCATTTCTAGAAGAAAAAAAAATAGTGAATAGAAAAAATACAGTTAATGCTGTTCAAAGTTTTTAAAAGAAAACAATAAAAAATGACTTTACATAGTAATGTGTATCGAAGATATATAAATGAAGAATTATCACTATTATCATCTAGCTTTAATTATAAAAATTTGCATTACTGTGATAAGCATGATAAATGATTATCATCATGATTATCACTAATTATAAAATGCATAAATGATCAAATATTAGTTGGTTGCGCTTTTAGAAGCACTCTTGCTACAATTTTATTCATTTATAAAAATTACGAAAATGGCTCGATACTATTTTATGAGAACTATGAGGCCAAACTATGCATTATTTAACTAAAATACCTTAGTAAAGAACATTATAATCATAAAAATTGAAACTCTTAGCAAAAATTAGGTTTGGCTGCTTACCAAAAAAGCCTAGTTGCAGGGGAGCATGTAAGAAAGTTTCACATGGCAAATCGTCGTGTCGACCGTTACAGCACCATTTTTAACTTTCTTCTTGACTGTCGAAGTAAGCTGCAACCCTCCCTACACATTGCATTGCTATCTATGGCCCGTCCACTCCTCCACCCCTCCGCATAGCTATACCGTCTCATCTTTTATGTTTATTCTTGCTCATTTTTCTTCTTGCTTTTTACTGGATTCCGTTGGACTTTGAGAAAAGATCTGTCTGGAGCTTTCTGACCAATGAGCGACCTGCCTGCTATTTTTTATTTCTTACCGACTGACGCGAACTAACGTCACGCCTTCTTTTCGCCTTGCTCTGGCCACTTCGACGTGCATTCTTTTTTTTATATTTTTTCCTAAGCAAGCCAGATTTTCAAATATTTTCTTTTCCCCCCTTTTAGCCTTTTTATCACGAGGATGATTGACCTTGGTCAAGTAGGGGGACATGTTCGACAAGAGTGAAGGAGTGACCAGTCCTAGTTTGATAATGTACATGCATCAGCTCCTGAGCGATAGAGATGGGAAGATTGCTGACGGGGCTTCAACTGATCTTTATTCTAACTTTTTTTTAAAATCATTATTATTCAAATTCGCATTTTTGGCGGGAATTTTATTTCAATGACTCCATTTTATATTCTTTTTCCTACGGAGATAAACCAGATTCCACCAAAAATACGCTTTTGAATCTACTAATTTCCTTTTCATGGAATGCTCTTTCGCACTTAGGCAAAAAGTAAAAGAAAATAATAAGCATTCCTAAGTTTTGTAAAATGAATTATTGCAAAAAAAGGAGAATTAAAAAAAGAAACATGAAAGAAAAACGTCCTCGCTTTTATTAATTATAAAACTACCAACTTACTTTTTTTTAAATTTATTACATCCATTAATCCATATTTCAAAACCCATAATTTGATCCAATTAGTAAAGAGTAGAATTAGTAAATGAAGAACGAATTTAGTAGAAATATAGGATGGTTAAGCATAAATTTAATTTATAAAATCAGCGGTAAAACGTATAAAATACACAAGGAAGCATTCCAAATAGAAAAAAAAAATCTATCAACGATAATATCGTTGACGGATAATTTATCTAGCATTAATTACACAGCTTGTTATTTATTTAATTATTTTTTCCAAGTCATCCACTTTTGCAATAACTTAAAATAAAACATTATATTTTAAAAAATATATATATATTATATAGAAGAAATAGGGATAGTGTAGACAAATGAAGCATTTTTTCTATTTATCACTTAAAATTTCTCTATAAATTTCGGCAGATTTTCAAAACTCTTACGCATTTATATATAACTACATACAGAGCAAATAAAAAAAAAACTTAATTTGTGTTTAGATTGTGATTTTAAGAATAATTTTCAAATTTTAACTATTCATCAATTTTAATTATAAAAGACAGAATGTCATGCGTTAATATGCTTACTACATATTTTTAAACACACTTTTGATATGCCTTTCTGGAATTAACGATTAAGAAGTCTAAAAGAATCAAATGGCAAAACGGGGATAGTGTGGACACACACTAGCGGGGTTATGGCGGACATGTCAATTTTATTCCAAGAATTTATGTATAAATCATTTTCTATAAACCTCCAGTATTATAATAAGAGAGAGGGCTAATATACTAGTTCAATATTAATTAAAAGTACACACATTTATCGTTTCTTAATTTTGCAAATAGAAATTAAAAAGAATTAGAAAAATCCTTAGTAAATTTTTAAAAAAATAATGAACAATATTTTCATGATAATTAGAAAATTTAATTCTTATTCGTAGCTTTTAAAGCCTAAAAATGTAGTAAAAAATTAAGTGCTTTAAGCAGGCAAATTTTTGCTAAAAGTACTATGTTAGAATTTTTAATAAAATATATTTTTTTTAAAGTCATAATCCATATTTCGTATTTAATACTATTATGAAATCTATGCAGAAAACTTTGGTAGAAGTGTAGATGATTGGGATGATAACGTTTAAAAATAAATCAAAATAATTATTTTTCAATTTTTAGACTATTCTTCTTCGAACTGAAAAAATGTAAATTTAAGTTAAATACTGCTGACAGCTGAAATAATTTATGTAATAATTTCAAAAATCATACATTTTAATAGAAATGTAGTTAGGTGAAATGGTTACGTTGAAATTAACAAAAATCTGTGTTGTCATTCTTCAACTACTATTGTTCGAATGCTTTTTTAAGGTAAATAATTAAGAAATTTTTCTAATAATTCCAAAATCTTTAAGTTTGATTTATTAATGCGCAATTTTAACCTCTACAAACTTAAAGCCTTTTTTATATTTTTTATAGTAAACCAAATTGTTTATGGTGTGGTATATTGCAAATGCAATTGAGTAAGGTACAAAGCAAAAATAATTAACCTAAGAGTTCATTTTGATATGGAGTTAATCAAATCTAATTACTAGTTCCAGCACAATATTTCAAGCATTGCCTTTTACATTTACAAATTGAAAAACAGAGGTACATTGTAAAAATTCAAAAGGTTTATAAAAGAAAAACTTCTACCCTGATGAAAGAAATCGGATAATAGGAGAAAAAAAAATTCAGTTGAGAACTAAGTAAAAAACTAATAGAAGTTACCGACGTTGCTAATTTGCATTTTGATCAATTAAAAAAATGAAATCAACAGGGTCATAATAAAGAACAACGGAGTTGTAAAAAAAAATAAGAGAAGCAAACTTACGAAAAAATTGAATATTAATTAGATTGTTTTGAAGGCAGACAAAAAAAATTATTTTTATACTACTTATAAGTCTTATCATTATTTGTTTATATCATTGTGAAGGAAAAAAATTAACAAAAAATTGAATAGTAAGGAAGAAAGGTTCAACACAGTGTTTTTATTCTTAAGGTACGTTTGAATACACACACAATTGCTAGGCTTAGTTGCTTCGAGTTTGTAAGACAGGCAAAAAAGAAGAAGAAAAAGTCATAAGCTTTAATTATTTGTATATATAATGAGTACTAATTATTTCCCACTGTTAGAAATATATATATTTCATTATTTAGTAAGTGTTATAGAATAAATGAAATAATTACTCACATAAAAAAGAGTTGCTTCATTTACATGGCTTGACGTAGTCCTAAGTGTTTCCAGAAAGGAAAAAAAAAAATGATTTCCTGAAACAAAAAAAAAGAGAGTAAAATATAAATTGGGAATACATCCATATTTCGAATGCTTTGATCGCTTCTTATATCAACCGTATGCAATAAACAGTGCACAGAAATACTTTATTATAAATCTAAGTACAGATTCCCGAAATATTTAATACCAGTACTTAGTATAACAGGCATACGGTATGCTCATTTTATGGGTTACAATAGCAGTTAAGGAAATATTGGTAATAAAATTATCAGTCAGGAAAGACATTTTTCAAAGTATAACCTGTCATTTTGAGTGGTTAGTATGCAACTTCCAACTTTCAGTAAAAAAAAAAAAAAAACTATATGAGAAATTTCTTATAATTGTTTTTTGAAACTAACTCCCAAGTCAACTTCATTAGTTAGTCATTTAGTCATTAAGTCAGTCATTTAATGCAACGATAACAAGCAATACATGAAAAATAATCTTATAAAAAATTATTGTGCTGAATATATTATATATTAAAACTTGTCACAACCGAAAACAAATACTTCAACGTTGAAAACATATAAAGGAGCAAACCTTTTTGTTTTCGGTTGCAAGTAATGTAACTTTACAACAATTTTTTGAAGTAAACTGAACTCCTTCTTTAAGTTGTGAACTAATATTTTTAACAAATTCAATAATAATTTCCTTTTTATTATATTAAGAATTTTCTATAAATCTAATACAGTTTAAATGCAATATAATATCCGATCAATTTAAGATACTTTTAACATTCGTTTAATATATTTAAAATATTTTTAACTTAAATAATTCACATTTAATTTTATGAATGGCACCTATCAATATTCAACTCTGTAGCCTTGTAATTTTTAACCTAAACACGTAGACATAGGAACTTTTGTTTCAAGCACTGGAATAAATTAGCCCTGATGGAGGACCTTTCTGATTGAACGTAACCGCATTTGCATTACTACGTAAATCTCCCACGGTTAGCCCGACCGCAAGGGATTCTAACTCATGATCCGTTTACCACAGTGAAAAAATTACGTCTGCATTGTCGTCGGCTTTAGCCGGGAGTAGAATTTGTATCGATCAGCCATGGTTGGAATTCGTACCTGGGGCGCAAAACTGGGACATAAGAGCTCTATTCCATGAGCCACTGCGGCTCAATAGAATTACATTGTATACTTTGTCAAAAAAAAAAAAAAGTATTTTTAGATTGATAACGAAAACGAAATTATTCGAAAAAGCTAGTCAACTGAAATAATTAAAGTACTTGAGATCCTGGGATAATTTCAAAATAAGACATATATATTTCCCTCCCGAATGAGACATTTTTACATCAAACCTTTTCTCAGTATTGCAGCCAGATGAAAAAAATTAATTGAATTAAACCAATTTAAAAATAATTTAAACTTACTTTTTAAGTACTATACCAAACATAAAGAATAGTTACCTCATTTTAATTGGTAGTTGAAAACAAAAGGCAAAGAAATGCCATTTTATTATTTAATGAGGGTATCTTTTAATCAGGGTGGCCACAAATGTTATTATCGAATTTCTTTGATTTTTGCAACTGGTTACAGAATTGTCATTATGAATTTTTTAGTTAATCCTTATTCTTACACATAAAATCCATACAAAATACATATCTGTGCTTTCTGATTAGAAAATAAAAATTTTTTAAAAATTATTATAAGTACAATTTCTTTCGAAAAAACATCGGATTTTTAGATTCCTCAAATATATATATATTTTTTTTACTTGAATCTTTAGTTATTTTAGTCTAAGTTCCTGACATTTCCCTGATTTTTCCAGATTGACATTTTTTTCACTTTTTCCTTTGTACAGGAAAATATAACTCAGTAAAATAATAATAGATTAAATGCAATACGCACGCAAATCAGGCTCTTGATTTTCCAAAAAACAATAATAAAATAAAAACAAAAATAGTATCTTCCTTTTTCTACAAAGTTGCATAACTATAAATAATTTAAAAACCACTTCAGATATTTTCAAACTACCATACGAAACATGAGGTAGTACGTTAAACCTACTACACTAGATAAAACTATTACTCAAACATTTAGTTAACCAAGAACAAACTGACAAAAATCAAACTTCATTTAGTTCAAATCAAGTTTTTTATTTACTTCAACAATTGTAACAATTAATGATTAAATGTAGAAAAGCAAGATTTGAAAGACCCTGTTTCTTAAACAATAATAGTTAACTCAAGCGCATTTTATTTGTTTATTTTACCTTAGTGTAACTCACGTCCCTATCATTTTTAATTTACCAAAATTTTAAATAAAATAAATGACTATTTTAAGTTTGACTATTTTGAAAATTCATTAAATAAATTTTTGACCTGAAGTAAATAAATAAGATAAAATTTTTAATGCTTAATGAAGTTTGAGACACAAATGTATAAATTTTCATTCGATTACCATTTCTTATTAAATGTTGAAAGTAACAAATGCAAATGTCTTACATAATTCTAATAATTGTTATTTAGGAAAAAATGTTAATAAAATAGAACAAAAAAGATGACAGTTCAGTTTGTTTAGTAAATAAAAAAATATTATATTCATTTTTATTGTGGACAAAATTTTTGTGAATAAGAGAGAATGCTGCACCCTTGGTCCGCATGTGCCTGAACCAGTGTAAAATATTTGTGTCCCTAAATGAAGAAAATCTGCTGTGTTATTGATACTTGTTACAATCGATAATATTTGCTGTGTTATGGATCATTTTAGACTCTCAGCCTAATCAAAAAAAAAAAAAATTTTAATATTTTTTTATTTTGATTATTCATGTACTAAACAAATTTCTTCAATTAGTTTGATTTGAAAATAAAATCCTGCGATATTTAAATTATAAAAAAAAATATACTAAGTTGGGTAAGCACCGAGTATCAAAATGTCATTTTTTATAAGATAAAATACCAATATTTTAAGAAAAATATTTAACAATATTTTGGAAAGATTAAGAAAATCTGAAAAGTGTGTGTGTTGTTAGAATTGTATCCTGGACCGTCGGTTCAAAACATGTGCAACAAGAATTAAATTAGCACAAATGTAATTCTTCGTAGACTTCACTAAATATGAGGCAAAATTGACAAGAAGGAAAAATTAATTTCCCATCACAAGATTAAAATTTTATGTTCGAAGTAAATTTATAAATTTCTGAAATATATCAACACAATATTATTTGGTATCAAGCTACTTTTTTTAAACTTTATTTTAGATAATGCAGATCACTTGAAAACTTTTTAAAAGTAAATTTGAACTGAATATTCTATTTCAATCAATTTTCAAGTCCTTAAGACAAGAACTCAAAATAAATGTTAACCAAGGCGTAACATCAAATGGACCAAGGTACAAAACCGTGTAGAACCTTGGACCAATTTTTCTTAATTTAAATCAGAGAAGCATGCAAGTTTCTTCCACAGCGGAAAAATCATGGAAAAAGACCGAAAAGAAAAGAAACAAGTTTCTTATACCCCCAGAAGTAGAAATTGAAGAAACTGCTTACCATAAAAATAAAAATATTAAGTTATTAACAATTAAGAAAAATAAACTATTTATAATTGCAATCTAGTTTAAAAATGTATTCATTTTATAAATCATTTTTAAAATTCATAGTGGAGATAAAAAAGCAAAAATTGGAAAGAAAAATAAATTTATCAGAAGTTTCTTTTAATGTTTTACGTAACAGAGTATAATAAAACTCAATCTTATACTTATATAAAGAACTTTTAAAGTATTATAGTCAAAATTTTATATTGTATTATACAATGAACCACATATTGTATTCACAATTACAAAAATCATACCAATTTTTTTAGTTATATGTTTAAGAGGCAGGTAATATGCTTAAGACATATCAGTACAATACATATTTTTGATACAGATTTTGTTTTTACATTCCTTAACTTAAAATCATAAGTTAGTGATAATTTTTTAAATAAATCCAAGAATTTTTAATTGTGACGTTTCATTCATAAATCTATGAATTTTCATTTTCAAATTAATAAATTATAACTTGCAATTTTGTTTTTATAAAATAATAAATTGTTAAACAACTTTCAAGCTTTTTTAATATTGAAACTTTTTGAAAATTAAGAATAAATTCTTAAACTCACAAAAATGCACACTCAGTTATAGGGTGTATACCTTAAAAATTTTTTGAATAATTTATTATGCCACAGCAAAGTAATAGTTTTTTTTCTCTTTACATTTTAATAGCTTTACAGTATTTTTCTTCTGATACATTATAATATATTATATTTATATTGTAAGAAACAGTTAAGATTAAAAGAAAAGAGAAATTTACAAAGAAAAATCAAGTTTTATAGCTGCACATAAGTTGCATTTATAAGTGCATGGAACGCGTACTGTAAAATAACAAAGAAAAGAACACAGAAAACAAAAAGTAAATAAAAAAAAAGGAATATTTAAAAGAATTTTTAATGCAAAAATGAAAATTATTAAAAAATATACTATATATTTTTTGTTCTCTGTGCTTTTGAATATATCTATTCAATAAACAATTAAGAATGAAAGAAAGAGAAAATTTCAAAGAAATTTAAGTATTTCAGATTTATTACGTGTTATTAACAGCTCATAAGCTACAAATACATAGGACCCATAATATAACCTAAAAACACTAAAAAAAAGAAGGAAAAAAAAAGATTTAGGTCGAAAAGAAAAAGGAAATTATAAAATTAATAAAAAGAAAAGAAATTATCAAAAATATAAAATTTAATTGCACAAGTAATAAAAAATTGTTGTGAAAAATTAACCACGAGAGAAATCTTTAAAAAAAGTATTATTTATTTTCATATATTTCGAATAACTCAATCTTTATACAAAATGTTTAAAACACTTGTAAAAAATTAAATGGGAAAAACTTTTTTACTTTTTAGTACTATAATAAGTTTTATTTATTTTAAATCAAAACTCTTCTTTTAATAGTCATCACTTATTTGCATCGATTAATTTTAGTTTTTTCCGTTTTTTTTTTTCTC